GGGAGGCCCCCCCCCACAGCCCCCCCAAACCCCGGGGGGGCCCCCCCGGGAAACCCCCCCCCCCCCCCCTTTTAACCCCCCCCCCCCCCCCCCCCCCCCTGGAACATGGGTGGCCCCCCCCTCCCCCCGGCGGCAGAAACAAAAAAGGGGTTTCCCCTCCATTCCGGTAGGCCCCCCCCCCACCCAAACAAAGGGGGGCAAAAAGAAAACCCCGGATGGGCGCCCCGCGGGGGGGCGGCCCCCCCTTTTCTTCTCCAGTAAAAAATTCGCCCGGCCTTTCCCCTCCCCCCCCCCCCCCCCCCCCCCCCTCCCCCCCGCGCGCGCCCACTCGGGCAGCGAATAAGGGGCACGTATCTAACCTACTGACTTATGTACTGAGAAACGAAAAAAAACACAATTATCAGTTGCATGCACTCAACAACTATACTTATATGTCTGCCACCACCACACTTTACAGGGCAGTGTGTCCGCTTGCGAGAAGCGGTGGGGGGGGACACCAGTCGCGAAAAAAGGTGGAGCCCTTCTCCATTTTTCTACACCTAGCTGCTGCCCTGCTTGCTGCCTGCCCACAGCGGGGGCGCGGGCGACATCGACCGAAGACAAGCAACGCCCGACGCGTTGTACCCCCAACCATGTCGAGAGAGCGAGATTAGGCGGCACGAAAACAAGACCACGACAGCTACAAAAAATAAAAATGTTCATTCGCAAGTCAAAAATTACAAGACGATGACCCAAAAACAGCAGAAATACAAACAAATCACGAACGCACCGCCGACTCTCCGAGGGAGAGTAAATGCGCTTCAATGTTGTATAAGCGCACGCAATCTCATAGCCGACCAGAACACGGAGGATGCACTCGACCACGAAACGAAATAAGGTGCGCATTCTACGAGGCTCCGAAACACCAGCAAAAGCAATCCGAAAAAAGCGCAACAGAGCAAAAAAAAAAGAAAGAAAGACGTTACTACTGCTGTTCGTCCTTGCGACAGAAAGAGCATCCATTCATCACGATAACGTTTCTTTCCAGTACCCCCGACACAAGAAAAATAAGATTGCTGTCAGAGTTCATTGGGGGGATGGAGACTGACTGGTGCAAGGAAAACAACACCCAACATCCCCCACCCCCCGCGCATGCACTACAAGCCGTCCTTGTTTTTATCCGGACCGCACCCCCGCGGAGGCGAAAACTGTAAGAGCAACAGCGGCGGCGTGGCTGCGCGGCTGCGACCAACAACAAAAAAAACAGCTGTAGTTTTTTAATGGTACAACTTTCAACTTTTTTAATCGGCTTTAAAACATGTGCGAATCCTGGTTCTTGGTACTACTATGATACGTCTCAAAAAACAACATTTCTCGAAACAGGTCATTCGAGTCCGCGAATGTATATACTTGGAAGTAGATACACTCACGCCTACGCTAGTTACGTTTGTTGGTCCTTTTTTCTCTATCAAACCCTGTGGTAAGCGAAAACATGCTGGTGCATCAACACTACGGGATGGCCTTGGCCGCGCATGCGTTGGGCCGCCAAAAGCCCACCGTGCATACGCACGTCGTCTAGTTTCACCAATCAAACGAAAAAAATGTTGATTCAACAGCCATCTACATAAATAAAATATAAAAGCCTCCGGTGGTTCAGGGGGAAGCTCGCTGAAAAACAGCTGTACTCTTGCACTAAGGATTCTGATGATTCGTCCTTTTTTATTGCTGTTGTTGAACCCCCGTCAAGAACAAGGAAATAAAAACGAAAAAATACGCAACCCCCACCACGGTGATGGGAACCAACCCCAAATCTAGCTACCCAGGGGTTTGTTTGCCTCCACTCACTTCTAATCTCGTTTCGTGCCTCTCGTTCAAAGCACGTTTTGTCTGAATGAAAAATCTACCATGCAGCATAAAAAAAAGGGGGGGGGGAACATAATACGTGTTGTTATTGCAATATGCCGTGTGGCGGGCTCTCACCACCTCTCTCTTATTCCGAGGTGACGCTCGGAAAAAAAATTCCACGAATTTAAGAGACGGTTCAACATGTAGGCACGTCGGAGATGAGGAGCATGTCCTCGAAACGGCGCTGCAGGCGCAGCAGCAGCATCGGGGAGGAAGACGGCGACTCACCCAGCCCTTCCTCTCGCGGCTGCTGTTGTTGCTGTTGCGGGGGACAGGTCGACTCGCCACCACCACCACCAGTAGTAGCGTCGCCAAAACCGCCGCCGCCGTGGGGGTCGGTAACTCTAGCGGTAGGGCACCATTCTTCCTCCATCTCCTCCTCATCACTGGTTCCTCCAACCCCGCCTCCTTCATCATCGTCGTCGAAGCCCACGATGCTGAACCCGGAGGAGCAACTCCCCGCTGCCGGCTCTGACATCCACCCGCTGAACTCGATGCCATTCGTGGTCGGCGCCGCCTCTTCCGAACGGCCTCCTCCCATCAGCAGGGCGCCCGGCGAGCCCTCCCCCCCCCGCGCCTCTTCTTCAGATCCTTGTTGCAGTTCGTGTTGCAAGAACGGGCAACGGGTGCCGCCGCTGGGAGGACAAGAAGGCTCGGCATCGGTATCGGAGGACGGTTGTTGCTGCTCGTGAACGGTGCTGAACGTGTCGAAGGACGAGGACGCGAAGCTGCGCCGGCTGGACGAGAAGCCGCCGCCTGCTGATGGCCCCAACCCGCGGTTGATGCCGGTGGTTGAACAACCACCCGCTGCTGTTGGTGTTGCCACACCTTCTCTCGGCGAAGCTCGGCTGCTGCTGCTGCTGCTGCTGCTGCCGCTCCCGAACAGCCGCTTGTGCGCCGTCGACGCTACCGCCACCGCCGCCGCGGTGCCGTGCTGCAGGGGGGCGACATGTTGGTGGTGTTGAGCTGCTAGCATCGCTGCTGAGCGCTCTGCTGACGGCCATCGTCTTGCCGTTGTTGAACCGAACATGAGAGAAGTCTTACCCGCCGCGGCCGCCGATCCACTCCTCCCGCGCTTTTTTTCGCCCGTCGACCGGCGGTGCCGCGACAAGCCGCCCCGGGTAGGCGACGATGGCCCGTCTTGCTGCTGCTGCTGCTGCCGCTGGCCGAAAAAGTTCCGCAACCGCGGCACTATCGCGTGCTCCACCCGTAAGCCTCTATCGCTCGTGTCCTCGCCGACGCCCGCAGCGCCGGCGCTGGTCGACAGCGCTTTCAAATTTGCGAACGCACTCTTGCACCTCTTCAAGCGTACGTGTTCATCCCCCCCGCCCTGCTGCCGAACGCCCCAGGCATCCATCGACGAGACCGCCCTCTTCATGCTGCTCGAACCTCCTGCTGGCGTAGCGGAGGGGGGGAGGGGGGGGCAGTGAGTGTGAGGGTAGCGGAGAACGGCGGAGCGATACTGCTGCGATCGTGCTGCGTACTACAACGCCATGAAAAAGAGCGGAGTGATATCATACATCCGCCCCCAGACGTTGAGCTTGGCTGGCCACAAGTTTCGTGGGAGTGACGCGTTTGGAGACAGATAATATTTTTCAAAAAATCAACCGCAAAGTCTGGTGTGGCACAGGACGGACACAGCCGAATTCACAGCGCGAGACAACCCGGCGGGGGACCTCCCATGCTCCGGGGGGAGCGTTGGGACGGGTTGAGGGTCAGGGAGGGGTGAGCTGCGTAGCGGGAAGTTGATTCCAAGACATGCTGTCGGCGATGTGATGACGACATGACGACACGCATTCAACGTCCAACAAAAACGAAAACAATGATGTGTGTATGGATCGGAATCACCGAGGTCGTCGGTGTTCCGGGACTTTCCACCATTCACCGAATATAACACGTCCTCGCTGCCGCAAGGCCGCGACGGGTGCTGGTTGAGTCCACGGGAAGGTGCCAGCTAGCTGGAGAGCCTGCTGCGGGACCCTTGCTCAAGGTTCGGGTTGGAAGCTCTCTCACGCTTCGTTTCCTCTCCCGAGAAAGCCACCCCTCACGCCCTTCAACCAGCACCCGCTCTGTACAACACAAATTCAGAATTCTCACACGCCACACCACCACCACATTCGCTCCGCGAGTGGTGCACCAGACCGCACGCACCTAGACTGACCCGGTGTTGGCCGTGTAGTGTTCTCCTCTTGCTCGTGTAAACCTGGCTGCCGTGATCTTGCAAGGGGGGCGAAAGTGCTGACAACGCACGCACGCGCTCCTGTGGTTGACTGGTAATAATTTGTGAAAATTGATCTGCAAGTCAAGTTGAACTGACTTCCCGCTTGGGGGGGGCTCTCAGCTAGTATTTTGAAGAAAAGAGGGTATCCTTCATCATGTTACTGTGCCTCGTGGGTCTCCACACACTGAAGGGTTATGGTTCTGAAACGTTTTGGCTGCCTTGAGCATGAGAGAGCTCTCTGCACCTGCAAAGGTCAGGAAAAAACCTCAGGAGGTGGCCATCCACCCTACTTGTGGGGGCCTAGAGGAGACCGCCTCTGCTACAGCACTACTACATCCTCAAAATGCAGGTGCTGCCACCACACACTACAAAGACGCTGTTGAAGTGCTACAGACAGTCCAGCTGTCACCACCGAACTCCACGCATAATAGTTAGTGTACACGTCTAGACTACACGTACGCGAATGGTACTGCTGTAGTCTACAGCACGGCGGTCGGAAATGTACGGCGGTTATTCCTGCGCTGTACACGTTTTGTACATTGGAATGGATGCGTGCATCCTGCAGAGAGATTGTACTACTACTGTAGGAACAGGTGGCACTTGTTGTGCCGCTGTCTGCTTTACAAAGGCAACCACACCTGTATTTCGACCTCAACTTCCCCCACGGGTAACTCGGTAACTCTGTATGAGCTGCCAGCATAGACTACAATAGAGGCAAATCTTGCACGCGGCTTCGGTATGTCGATGACGCTCCCACAAAAGTTCGCAAGGAACCAAAGAACCATACATACATCGCTGTGTGGGAGCATTCCATTCAGGGAAGAACCGCCGCCAGGCGTACTCTACAGATGCCTTCATCATCTATGTAGACTACAAACTGTAGATACATGTCTGTCCTTTGCACATTTCAGCAGAACAACGACAAAAAATGGATGTGAACGCACGTGTTCCCTTCCTTGTACTGTTTGGTTTGCGCAGACGATTGTCCTCTTTCCAACGCTCGCGAACAAGCACACCGAATTGCGCGGCATTCTCGATCGAGGTGCGTGCGTGTTGGTGAGGGAGTCCCCACATATCTGTCCTGTACTTGTAGGGTGTTTCTAGCCCAATTCATGTATGGGTGTGCGTGTAAGGTCTGGTACACATCTTGTCAGATGCACCCGGAAAACTCGCATATTAGGGAGAAGGGATTTCGCTCAAGCTATAGTACTTCATAGCCAATCAACCGAACTTCCGCGCATTATGCGCGTGCACGAGTACCGTACAAGGTCTAATATTCATTCACGATACTGCAAGTCATGCGAGGTTTCAACATCGGCACACCATTCGATGTTGAGACTACAATACTCTTGTGTGGTGCGCCACAACGGGCACACAACGGCATCACCATCTTGATGCTTGTCGATCGCTCATGAAGGCAGACACTAGAACGAGAAAGATAATAAAAAAAGCAAGATATGTCCGAAATGCATAGCACATAGTATGTCGTGAGAGAGATGGGGGGGTGGGAGGGGGTATAACGACCCACACCACGCCACACCTCACATGTTCACCATACAATTGCTATTCCATCGAGCAGGATGGGACCGACATCATGCGTCCCGCACCAGAAAGCGGCGTCTCCCCTGGCATCTCTCCTTCCACGACCAGCCACAATCGAAGATGCTGGCAAGGGAGCAGAGCGACAGTTCTCTCACAGGACTCCCGCACTCCAGCCATCTCTGCGCGAGTAGCATCGGTGGTGGATGGAGGGGCGACTCTTCGCTGTCGACAACTTCGAAAAAGACGATGGAATCTTTGTCCTCGTCTGTGTACGACGACCTACAACCCTTTCGACGCGCTCACCGGACATTGATCAAGGTGCTGGAGGGAGAGCCACCATAACATGTTCGATAGAATCTTGAGCCGTTTCGACGCAACATCCGCTGAGCTTGACCAAATTATGGACGGAGAGTGTACAACACAAGTCAAACGATCGTGTATTGATGACGTACGGGGGCTAAATGCTTCACGAAAGATACAACTCGGTTTTTCTTTTTGGTCTTGTGTAGTAGAGGTCTCTCGGCCTTCGCCCACCCCTCGACTACTCGATACAGTCTTTCCAGGCGTCCAGGCCCCCGGCATTAACCAGGCCCTAAATAGGGCACCTAGTCTAGACAAAACGGTGTACACGCGTGTGCACAGGACTATGCAGCCACAGGTATGTTGGAGTGTTCCGGCAAGCGTTGGCCTTCATTCGTTCGCAAAATCCTGATGGCGAGCCTTGCGCCGCCTGTCGTTCGCGTCGCCCTACCCAGAACCGAATGGCGGTCAGGTCGACCCGCGAGCTGCAACGTATATCGTCCTCGGCGTCTTCGTCGCGCGTCAGCAAAAGTGCCAGCACCAGCACCGATTCCTGGAGGGGGCGATGGAAGAAGCAGAGCGCCCTCGAGAGCGGGCTGGCGAAGCTCACCCTTTGCGCCTCGTCGTTCGCGTGGATGCACGGCAAGCAGTGCATCAGGGGGTTCCAGGTGCTGGTAATCGTATTCTGAGCCGTGCGGAAACAGTGCCTACTAGCATAAATAGTGTTGAGCGGTTGGGTATTCCATCCAGTAGTGCCTATTCCAACGATTCCACCTGCTCCAAAGGTCTCTCGGAACCAAACCAGAGTGCGTGGATCGATGGCGACTGGCCGTCATCGGTTGATACGTGCCTGAGGTGTGCGTACCAAGTGGCTGTCGAGTAGCACGACCTCAGCGAAATGCACATTCTATTCCTTAACCTTCCCCTGCTCCTCAATCCTGGATCATCGATGTCAACCCTCATGGCGCACTTGTCCGCCTAAAACACCATTGGCCCCGCTCATAACGCGTTGTCTTGCAAGAAACTGAGCCTGAGATTTGCGGCCGTATTGTACCTGCTCAGCCTCTGCGGCGAGCACTACCCCAAGCCGCCGGCGTGGTAATGACAAAACCAAAGTTGTCACTGGCCCAAGAAAATCATTCTGCATATTCTCTCTGGCTGTCTTCGAGAGGAAATTGCACTAATGCTGTAGCGCGGTCGATGCCAACAAGACCGAACAAGTCATGTAATGTAGGCGAAGTATTCCCACGACGAGCAACACCAAGCCTTGTTCTTAAAAGAAACCGCCGTCACCGCCACCGCCACACCATTATCCCGTTTGCCGCGATGTGCTTCGCTTCCTTGGCTACAGCGTGTGCAAATGCTCCCGGCGGAGTTCAGAGAGCAGCTGCAGATGAGCCTGCACATCTACCTCCGCCCATCCGAGGGCGCCGCGGTGGCCAGGTTCTTTGACGTGCAACAAGTAGGCTCGGTCAACGGGGAGGTCTTCGTGCGCTGGTTCTTGCAGGCCGGGCTAGACTCGCGCGAGGTACTCTGCGCTACCATGCACAATAACCCGACTGGTGTAGAAAAACCATGCACTACTCAGAAGGACCTAGATTGTCGCTGTGTGTGTGGATTGGGTTGATCACTAAACAACACGACGGCTTTCGTTTTGCATTGCGTCGTGGTAGAATGAACACGGAGCTGGCAGGGGGGCATGCACTCATAGTCGTGCATGCCGTAGTCGTTAGACCATTGACCTCGCATTCCTACAAAGCCGGGACGGAGCGTACCGGAGCTGGCAGGGGGCGGGTTCAAGTGTTTGGCTCTGGTCGCGTAGGATTGTTCGCTCTCCGGTGGAGTGATCACTGAGAAATTAACTTCTCTTTGGGAACGTGGGCACGGCGTGTGCAAGGCTCAAAGCTTTTGCTTCGCCCATGGCCAACCGCAGCGCGCCTATGGGATGATACGACTCCAGGTGTTCGGACTCGTGGATTCCGCGGTCCCAATCAGATTCTATCATCAGGGTGCACGCCTGGTTTCCTCCTCCTCAACCCCGTGCATGAACGTCTTGAAGCAGACCGACGGCCGGGGATTTCGGGTGGCGAGCAAAGCCCGTTGGAAACGCAGTTCTTTTTTTCTGAAGACCACCTCAGGCGTGCTTCGCCGTGTATGTGCTCCTGCCAGCATCCCGACGCTTGCTTGTTCTCCCGCTTTCTGCCTCACCTTCTACCTCGCTTTGTCCTGGGACCTCTCTCTCTCTCTCTCTCTCTCTCTCTCTCTCTCTCTCTCTCTCTCTGTCTCTCTGTCTCTGTCTGTCTATCTGTCTTTCTTTCTGTCTCTCTCTCTATCTCTATCGCTCTCGCTCGCTCTCTCTCTCTCTGTCCATCCCTCTATGTCCATTTCTATCGCTAACGCCCCCCCGCCAAGCGCCCCTGCCCACCCCTCCTCGATGGAAAAACTTACCTGGACCAGGAGCGACTCCGAGCCCAGGCCGCCGTGGACCACGAAGAGCAAAGGCTCCGCCGAGAGGGGGAGCGAGCGGAGGTAGCAAGGAAACGCGACGCCAACACCGCCGCGGTGGAGGTCGAGTTTTCGGCGGAGGACCGCGCGTCCGCCCTGCTCTTGCTGGGGAAAATCGCGCTCTCCTACCACGACCAAAGGCGCGTTAGGTTGTGTTGGAGTCTTGTAACACGTGGGCCCGACTTTCGTCATGGCGTGTGTACATGGGTCCGGTCGACTAGGTGCATTGTTCCTTTGAGGCAAACTGTTTTTGCCCAGTGCTCAACTTGGTTCCTCTTTCCACGACAACGACGGAAGGCCTGGGGCAAGGGTGGGGGTGGGGGTGGGAGTGTGGGGGGGGTCGTGCTAGAATGCCAGCTTTATTGCGGAGCTACCCCCTTCCTGTGCGCCGGTTGTGAGAGATGGCAAGAACCGGTGGAAGTGAGGGAAGGCCTGCTGGTATAGTTCTCTCGGTGACGTCGCTCTGTGCGCGACCGACCCACACATTATTTCAGGTGTCCTGTCTTGATTTTCATCTACTTCCCACGCAGCAGCTCTTTACGTGATTTTCTCGTCTATCTTCCCCGCCTGCTAGCTTGCTTGACCAGTTGCCCATATTTGACCTTTGCACACCTTTTCGCCGACGGCCACACGCCTCCAAAATCAACGATGACCTTTGCAAACAACAGAACCGGCCACGAAGCTGCTCAGCGAGACTTTGCGTGCGCTTTGGGCCCTATGGCGTTCCGCCTCCAGCTGTTCCGGTCGTTCGGGATCCGGCTAACGGACCGGCAGTTCGCCGCCCTGTTCGACGTGATGGACATCAACCGAGACCGGCAAGCAAGAAAGCACTTGAAGCTCTCTTGAGTTCGGGGAAGAAACGCCCTGCAGCCCCGCCCTCCCTTCATGCCCTTGTATCTGTCTTGCTCCCCCTGGCCCCGGTTGACCCGTCGGTCGATCAAGTCCAGACAACACCTGTTTTGTGCTCCCCACCTGCAGCTGCGCACCAACCTCTTATACCGAGTAAGCGAACAACAACAACAATTATTGCGGTGCGTGTGTCGGGCGGGGGTGGGTGCAGGTGTATCGACGGCGCGGAGTTCCTTCGCTTTTTCTTCGGACTGGGAAACCAGGAGAGAGCCAAGGAGCAGAGGCAGCATGAGATAAACTGCCGAGCCAGGGCGCGGAACCTGCGCCTCGACAAACTTCCCCCGCTCACACCGATCTTAGGGCGGTAACGACATGGTCAGGCTGCTTTTGTGCTCTCAAGCGGTTCAGAGAGCTCCGAACAGAGTACGTAGTCTACAAACTAACCGCGACAAACCTACAACTCTCGGATTCAACTCTCGGATTTGACGATTTAACAGACAACACCGCATGTCGCGAGCGCCAACGAGGTTCGGCCTGTTGAGCGGCACAGTCCACGGGGTTGAGGTGTGTTGTGGGCGAACGCGGGGTGGGGGTTGGGGGGGTCGAAACCGCTCCAATTGCGGCGTGGTTTTCGCGGTGTCCCTTGAGGACGGGTGTAGTATTAGATGTGTGCAGTAAAGGGAGACTAGTGTTCGTCGCAGCAGTCGGTAGGATAGGTGTTGCGTCGCTGGTAGAGATATAAGCGTACCGACAGCCGATCTGCTTTGCTGGGACGGGCAGGCTGAAGTGTGTGGAGAGATTGATGTGGGTAGTGTAGGCCGCGGTCGTACGACTCGTCCTGCATTGTTGATTTTAGTGATTCTGAAAATGGTCGCTGTGCATGCTTGCTTCGGCGCACCATCACTAGGAGGCCTGAGTTCCGCGGCGTACCGCATCTAGTACCTTACCAGGCGAAAACACCTCTTACCGTTGTTGGTCTTACCTTGCTGAGGTTTGGAGCTCATTGGGCTCCAGACGCTAGTGACACAACTTCGGTGGTTGAAGCAGTGCACCCATGCGGCTGATACAGTATACAGCGGCGCCTTTTTGCCACACGCCAGCCTGAGAAAACCTCGTCACGCGCAGTTAACGCAGTCTATTCTTCCTCAACCATGCCCTGCAAACCGCTACCTATTGATGTACATTGCACCTCGTCACGTCTTCCAAGCAAGAGCCCACAACACCTCAGCCGACAAGTGAGGCATCGCGTTATTTTCTCCCTTTGGAGACTATTGTGACTTTCACCACCTAACGTGTGACGAGTGCTCGGGTCAAAGGGCGCGTGGCCATGCGCGGGTTCTAACGCTAACGCCCTGCCCCGCCCCCTAATACATAACCACTAACACCCGGACGGCCCTGAGTCGTACATTACTGCTTGCGAGCGCGATGACCTCTCTCTTCTGCCTCTCCCACAAAACTCCTCCCTCGGAAAAAACGATACAGCAGTAGGTGCACACGAGGGATGCGCAGGATGACCGGGAGGAGCGTAATACTAAAAGCAGCTAGCCTAATAAGAGGGGTTTTGATTCGCACAGGGTATCGGGCACTTTTTTTGACCCGAGTCGTCCCGGGCTACACAATCGTTCATGCACGAAATGGATTCAGCTTATACATAGTATTGCCGAGTCGTTTTTCCGGGACAACTCAAGTTTCCTGGAAATTTTTAACGGCAATTGCTATTTGCTCCACCGGTCGGTAAGTTTTGAACGATCTTGCGCCGTAGCGGTGATTCAAAACGCTGGAAATGATGCATGGATGCATTTCATGATCAAGAGAATGGGTCGGGAGCATGTGGTCAGTCATGAATACCGCAAACGCCCTCCAAAGTCGCAGTTTTTCTCCTTCCTTATCCTGGCGGCGGAAAACCGGGGTACACGCCCCTGTTTGAGGTGTTTAAGATCCACGACAAGACTATATGATGCACTCGCTGACACCGCACCTACAGCAGATTATGTAGCACCACGCTGGCGGAGGGGTTCGCGCCCGGAGCTCTCCGCACACGTCAACGAGAAACTATGTAACGCACCTTGTAGTACCGTCCTGGGAGCGCGACTTCCTCTGGCCTGAGCTGAGGACCACAGGCCAAGTGTCAGTCTGTCTAGCCCGTGCCGCTCTTATCTGCTGCAGATGTGAGTGACGTTAGTTGGGTGCCTGATTGTGCTTTGCGCCACATCCAGCGGGCACAGCAGCATCACAGAGCAGTTAAGCCTGCCTGGTGGACGAAAGCTTTGGTTTTGGCCGGCAATCAAACGTAGGAGTACGTACACATTCCATATGTAGTAACGTGTTGAGGGAGGAGGTGTGTCATGCGGGTGTGGTGTGTTTGTGTGTATTCTGCCAAAACAAATCCGGGAAAGTATAATTTTATATGCTCAAGATTGTTCGTGACATCAACCTTGGCGGGCCAAAAGTGGAGCCAACTTAACGAGGTGGACGAGACGTCGTCCATGGACCATGGGTCGTGGGTTCGAAAAACCATCCTAAGGGTCATCCCTTTTTGCATTTTTTCCCCCGATATTTTCCGTTTGGACATGATTGGAAAGAAGAGTGAGTGTCGCACTCTAAGAGTTCTCGTCGCAATCAATCTTAGACAAAGCACCCACCGCAGGAAGCGTTTGCGTTGGAGGGAGAAGAGCCCTTCTGTGTGACCACGGGTCGGAGCTCGTTTCCGGCAGAAATGCCGTGAACACTGGTTTAATGTTGAATGTGAAAACAGAAGACAAAAAAGATAAAAAAAATAGAAACTACAAGAATCACAATTAATTATTTTTTTATTGCGTTTGTTTGTTTTTTCCTTCTCTCCCTATACTGCTCGGTGGTTGGTCTCGTTCGCGTCATCGCGTACTTTATTATAAGGAAGGGTCAAAACGTAAAAACCGGCAGATATATGCATACTACATATAATAGTACTACCGGTTCGTATAGCATTTGTCTCGCCCCTATGTATACAGTATGTATGGCACTGCCGCTTGTGAAGCGTTGTGAGAGCTTCTCGGCATTCAAAACATCTGAATCTACTGCACCCACCCACCACACACATTCAAACGACTTCATCACTACTACAACTACGTCATACCGGCAGCATCGTCGACCGCAGCGAGCAGGCTCTCTACTTGCCTTTCTGTTTGTGTCAAACGGGCTCAGATATATAGTCTAGACTGCCGTTCACCCACCATATATATATATACAAACAAACATAAATGAACGGGGAAGCATAATAATAATAGTCAGTCATCGTGAACCACGACAATCTAAATTTTAGATGCTCCGGAGTACATACAAAAGAGGCGCATTGCCTTCCGGAATCCTGGTTTGTATCACAGAGGCTTTGACGCTATCGATTCAGATGGTTTACTCATGCTTTCTTCGCGTAACAGCGACTGGCTAGGGTCCAAATAGTTTCGTTCATCTCGTGGTCAGTTTCTTTCGTGGTATCTTAACATTTGAGTCAAGGGGGGGCTAACAAGGGGGGGCTAATCAAGGTGGGACTAGCACAAGAGGGGGCTAATCGAGGTGGGACTAGCACAAGGAGGGTCTAATCAAGGTGGGACTAGCCATACATCGACTCACAGGTTGATGTATCTCTTAGCTTTGGTCAAAAAGTCTCTTCCTTCCGAATCGACCGTATTAAGTATAAACACGAGAGAGACGGCGCCCTAGAGGGGTCCCGTCACTGATTGAGGTACACCGAAAGGTATATCCTAGCCCTCCTCAAACCATCGTAAGATGGGATGAATCTCAGTATTTCGCGCCCGTTCATGCTACCGTGACATTTGTTTGGGGGTTTTGGGAGTTACGGGTTGGATGGCTGCCTCCCGTCACGGGATTTTTGTCATTTCGTCATTTCCCCCCGGTGCTTGCGAAAACGTCGCTTTCGCGTCCTCCTTTCTTGCACTCGGCAAAATCACGCAGGGATTTGTGCGGGCTCCCAATTTTCTGCAGCAGGGCTAAGGTTACGATCTCCCGTTGCTTCACTATTAATACATGGAGAAGTATTATGCACAACACGAGCCCGAGGTACCACGCACGGAGCCCCCCAAGATGGGCCCGCTCGTGGCCGCGTAACTTTCCTAAGTGATATTCTAACGCCAAACAGTAGCTTTCGTACTACTTTAGGAAATAAATACGTACCGTACATACATATATTGCAGCCTTCGACGCCCCATTCCGCGGCGACGAGGCCGACACATTAACAAAAGATCAGCCGCACACGTCCACCACGTTCGTTCATATCTACAATGCATCAAGAAAAGCGCGGAAAAGCGCCGATATTAACAAAAGAAACGACCGCCCCCCCACCCTGATAGCCGGGCCCGCTTTTCTGTCTCGGCACGAGCCAATCAACACCAGCAGCCTCACTCCCGCGCTTGGACCAAAACCCATACCTTTTAGTAAGAGCTACATTTACAAAAATGGACAGAAAAGCGATTAAAGCATCCGTCGTCTTGGCTTGTCGTGATGGGTCACCGCGCTGTGCTGGAGGCCTGGACGGAGAAAAAGAGGTGGGTGGCGGGAGGCGAGAGGCGGGAGGCTTGGAGCGGTCGATGGACTGCCTGCCGCTTACGTGCGCGTGAAACGCTAGAAAAAAGTGGCAATTTTTCGAAACAGATTCGCTTGGTCTCTGTCTGCGAATCGATTTACATGGCCGATGGTCCACCACACAATGAACGAATGATCGATCTTGTTATCTTTCCCTCTCCTATAATATAGCCCGTGCTACCGCTCGCACTGCCATAGACGGGACACATGCGCGGGTTCTAACGCTAACGCCCTTCCCCCCCCCCCTACATAACCACTGACACCCGGACCGCCCTGAGTCGTGCAATGCTGCTTGCGTGCACGGTGGCCTTTCTTCTGCCTCGCGCCACCATTCCTCCCAGCAAAAACGATAGAGGTGCACACGAGGGATGCGCAGGATGACCGGGAGCGTACTAGAGCAGCTAAGACGGGGTTTTGAA